ATAAAAGAAATATATTATATAAAAGAAATATATGCTATAGATGACATAGATGACATAGAAGACATATATGATTTCTTTCAGATCGATATCATCCTTTAGATCATTATCATTCATGTCTTCTTTCGTATAATACTATTATCTAATTAAATAATTTATTATTATTTAAATAAAATGATAGTTAGATTAAATTTTATCAGATCAGATTAGATCAAGTAATAGATCAATTTAACCTAACATTAATCTAAAACTCACTGATTTAATCAGAATTTTTCAGATCATATCAGGACAAACAATAGGTAAATTTGATCTGATTCAAAATTTTAATTCTAATAATTAGTTAATCTTTTGTTAAACATATTTACTTATAATTAAAAATTTAATTAAATATTAATTTTATTAATTGAAATTAAATAAAATAATTAAATTTAATGATATTTTAATATTTTAATATTTTATTTTTAATTTTATTTTTTAAGATTAATAAAGTTTATAAAATATGTTTTAAATATTACTTAAAAATTATTTGATATTATTGTATTTATTAATTTCTAAAAATATTTTAAAATAACTTTTAATAAAATAAAGATTATGAAATATTAATTTATATTCTTATTTATAATTATATAATTTATTTGTTTTCCTTATTATAAATTTATTATTGAAAAATATATGCATTAAATTTACTTTTTCTATTATATTATAAAAAATAACAATTATTTTTATAATTAAATTTATGATTATGATTAATCAAATTATATTTTTGCAAAATATGTGTATATATAATTTATATTTTTTATAAATTATATCATATACATGTGTAAAAAAATCCTTAAATTATATATATCTATATATTATATATCTTTAATATCAAAATTTTATATAGAAATTCTATATATTGATTAGTAATTTCATTTATAATAAAAGTTTAGATTAGTCATAATAATTTTATTTAAATTATTCTTTTTAACTTTCTTAACATATTGTATTATTATTTTATAATATATTGAAACTTCACTTAGAAGTGAAATTTTTTAAGATAGCTAAAAAAGAAAGTTTTAAAGATTATTTAAAATAAAACAATATCAATATTATTTATTTTAATTATACTATATGATTTACAAAAAAAAGTATATTTTAGAAAAAATTTAAAATTTTATTTTATTTATGTTCTTTTTATTGATTTCAATAAAAAAAGACTACGCAGGATAAATTAGAAAAGTAATCTTGTATTCATACTCTTTATCAAATGTGATTTTCAATTAGAGAAATTGCGGCTCAAAAGGTGTACGGAGAAAAATTTTGATGATGATTATAATGGGCTAAAAATATATACTTAGTTCTGATAGGCGGCAACATTATTTGAAGAAACCAAAAGAACCTTTAAAAGACCAACATGTAGAGGTGAAATTGCTTTAGTTTTGAAATAAAAAGATTTACGATGAACATGCGGTGGCTAAAGATGACGTAAGGGTTTGAAATATTTTTTTTAGTGTAACGAAGGACTACAACATATCATATCACGTGGAGATTTCCAGTTGTCCAGCACGCGTGACGTATACAACGCTGGTCATGTACATGAGCGCGTTATTTTTTTCTGTTTTGAAGTCTTCGTACATATAGTAATGTCGACATCTGACAACCCATTCTCACTTTGCCCTGGTTATGAAGGTAACACTTCTTGAACAACATTTGTATTTTGTACTGGTTGACACCACAGCTCTTTTTACGTCAATAGCAATCGCGGAGTATCTGGATCGTCACCCACCAAATAAGTGGTCATACGAACAATTCTTGCGACTTTATCATGACACAATTATTGTCCTGCCGCCGTTTAGCAACACTTGGAATTCACTTGATGGGACTTGGCGTAAGAGATTTTGCGGGGTTATTAAGACACGAAATGAAAGCGGCTATTTGGAAAAAAAAGTTGGTTTAGTTTTTTAGCGGCAACGACGACAACTCCCAATCACGTAACTACTTGATTGGGAGCATTAAGTAACTACTTAGGTCGTTGTTGTTGCGAGTAATCAATGATGAAACTCACAATCACGTAACTACTTGGTTGGGAGCATTAAGTAACTACTTAGTCATCATTGGTTGCGACGCTTATGTTTAATGATGGCACATAGATTTGTCGTTTTTTTACTAATTTTGTTGTTAAATATCACACAAGATTAATACTGAGAGCAATTGTGCTTACTGGAACAACCTGATTCTCAAACGCGCAGAAGTGGGTGTGAATCGAATACAAATTTGACGGCAAGGACACATAACTCGGAACATTATTAATTGCTAGTATTATCAAAATTACAGATGGAAACGGAATCAATTATAAACAGAGAAGGTTTGCAAACCCTCGGAGCATCAGTCCAAGCCAACGGAAAAAAATTTCGTAAAAGGGTAATTATACAATGATCATTTCTGCACCTAACATGACAAGGAGAATCTGCAATCCACGGCTGTTCTTAATGTAAGTTTATACCCACCCCCTCTTTTTTGCAAAGATTGCCATTGAAGAAGATAGCGAGATCGAACGGAGCTCAAAGCTGTGTGAAACCAGGCATCCTGCAGAGCAAATCGTAAGATATTTCATACGTTCTTCCTCGGTTTAATTTAATATTCAACGAGTATCTAGCAAATTTCCAAAAAGAATTCTTTGAATGCCAATATGGTGTTAACTTTATTGGATTTTCTTGCAGATATTAATTAATTTCCAACAATTTTCTTTTTTCATATTCAATAGTATGGGACTTTCGACTCATCTGAAGTTGAAAGTGAATATGAAGAGGATGAAAGCGAACAAGCTGACAGATTGGAAGACAAGAAAAAAGGGATAAAGGCAAGTCTTCTTTATTAATATTTTAGTCATGTAGATTCTTGAAATTGATCATGCTATTGTTGTTTCTATAGTTTGTTCCCCTGACCAATGCTCACAGAAAAGAGATCAAATCAGCTTATGATCGCATGCCAAAGCAACAGATGTGGAAATTGAGCAGTGGGACGGTTGTCGAGGAGGAGCTCTACAAGATTGGAAAACAATTACAGTATGAACAGTAAGTAACTAGGGATATTACTTGATAATAGTGCAATGAAGTCTCTTTAAATAAACACTTTGATTGTTATTCCAGTGCAGTGCATTCATTTATCTTAGATCCGGATGACGAAGTTGTCCAAAAACACTTCAATGAAGCAGATTTAATAGAGATCATTAATAGACCTGGTCCGACTATACCAGAGCTTTCTGCTGAGGCCGCCGAGTATCTTTTCCAGTTTAGTGGAGAAACTTCTCTGTCGCGTATTCGAGAAATAATGAACAAGAACGACCCACGTCTTGGTAAGGGCTATGTTCGGGATTTGTATTACGACTTGGACTATATCCGGTTTGCACTATATGCGATGTAAGTTCACATTTCCTTTGCAGTATGTGGATGTTTGTTGGCAGCGTATAATGAAAGGTCAATTTTCAGAATCAGAGAAATTGAGAGCGGTCGACTTAAAGACGACAATCTTGAGGCTTGGTACAATTGCCATGTATGGCATCCAATCATTGACCAGGGACTGGGAGATTTAAAAGGAATCATAGTTGTACGGTAAGAACCGTGCATTTAATTTATATTAATTAATACAATATTTAGTTAAATTTCTAATCAGCTGATTTTTCCATCCATCAGCGGAGAAAGTACGAGTATAGCAACTGCACTTCGAAAGAACGCCCATAGGACGGCGATTGATCGGCGCATGGTAGGCCGTCGTGGCGACTGGATTTTACGAAGTGATGGGAATGGTGAGCGAGACGAGTACGGTGTTGGAGAAGCTGGGAAACAATCCTCGGATCATTTCGGAACGAAATTCTTGAAAGAGGCGGGCTTGAAGGCACCCAAAGCGTTGAAAGATATGCTTATGAAATTGATGAGGAAAGTAGAATGGAACCCGGAGATTTGTATGAAGATGCAAACAGTTGGAATCATTCATGCTGGTGAGTACTTTATCGTGTCTGGCGACACAATAATGTAATGAAAGTAAGGCTCTCATTTTCCGCTAACGTTTTGTAGGGCTCCTCATGGTAGCAATATTTATGGATCGGCCATGTGGTTTTGTCTGTAGATTGCAGCGAGGAGAAATTATGGAAGTTCCCGACTGCGAAGAAAAGTTCCCAATGATCCTACAAATAATAGCTATCGTATTGAGTATTAAGGTAATTTCCATTTACGATCTCCGAGTAGTACTCCTCAAATTATTAAGTTTTCTCTAACCATGTGGCAGGCTACCGTAAGAGAAACGGTGAAGGCCATATTCAGCAAAATGCCAACTAGGGTAGAGGAATTTAAGAAAGTTAGCGTGGTGAAAAAGAGACAAACGAAGAAGGAACAGATGATACCCGAGTGCATGACAACACCACGTAAAGTGGCGACAAAATTTGTACGCTAATGAGAAAATGTAATCATGCGGGGCTGGGCCGGTTAATTCGGGTATTGTTTTGTCTGCGGATGCATTGATGTTATAAAGGCTGAAGAAATCGGCAACTTTGATATATGTATGCGGGAAATATGAATAATTAGAGCAATTCTTTGTTCCATTTTTCGCTTTTTTCTTGGTTCTCGAAATGTTTCACTACTGTCCTTCATTTTTTCACCTTGTTCTTGCTTTAAAAGAGATCGTAATTTTTGGGTTCCATCGTAGATCCAATGTAAATTAGTTTCATATACTACAGATACCTCTATACCGTATATTTATAAATTTGATTAATACCCGGAACGAAGTGAAGGACAAAATATTTTATGCAAAGTGTCCCGATGTTCGCCGCTCAATATTGAGTCGACGTTGATTGGCTTTTGTAGCAAATACCAGTGTGAATCTTTTTGTTACTGTAAGGACTTAACACGGTTCCGAATCCCTAGTTTAATAAACCAATTGTGTTTTGATAATGTATTTTATTCTTAAAAATATTCAAAATATTTGATTAAAATAATAGTTAATACATTATTATAATTTGGTTTTTTCATGAGATTTAAAATAATTCATCTTCAGACTACTAGAATCATTAAATTAAACCATGATCAACTGGTATTTCAATTAATAACTGTTTTATATTAAAGTCTTCTTATCTTACCAGTAAGTATAATTCTTTTACAGATTTTAGCCTTTCAATCATTATAATGTCTTCATATCTATAAAATTTTATTTATAAATAAATTTAAGCTTAAATTTAAAAAATTTTAATTTTATGTAATAAATCTTACTTTGATTTAAATAATTATATTAACGTTAACTTCTAAAAGAAAAGCAAATGCTAACTTGTTTTTAATAATTTATCAATCATAAATGATAAAATTATAACTTTATATTTGATCTGAATTTACTTTACTAAAAATCATATTAGTTTATAAAAAGATTTTTTTTTTGTAGTTTTCTTCTTTTTACTATAAGATATCTATAGATAATAATGTAATTAAACTATTTTATAATAATATTTAATCTATTTTTTTTTAAAGTTTACTTAATTTATAAATCTAAATTTTATATAAATTATATTGCTTAATAAACTGTAACTGAATTTTTAAAATATATTAATATCAAATCTTATTTTAATTTATATAAATCACAATACTATTTAAGACTTTATTTTTTAATATTAAGTGATTAGAAATAACTTGTAGTAGTATTAGTAATAAAAAAACATTTTGATATAAATTAAATTAAACTGAGAAGTATTTCTATTACCATTATTATTATTATCATAATAACTTTTAAGTATAGAGTTCCGGACGAGTCGAGTCAACTCACGAGTCAGATAAGCTGAGTCGAATTTAAATTGAGTCGAGTTTATATTTTTTTGACTCGATGATTTGCGAGTCAAGTCAAATTCAAGTCGAGTTAAATATTTAACTCGACTCGATTT